GGATCCCCTAGTGTTGGGCAGCAAGAGATCCATAAGCTACTAGGGATTCTGACCATACAAAGTCCTTAGCCATACACTGGCTTAGGTCATTCACCCCAGCAGACCTTGGATCCTCGCCATGCAACACTAGGAGATTTTTGATAATACAATGTACATATTTTGTATATAGTTAATTATTTTCAGCACAAGTCATCATTTTTTCATCATCATCCAACCACCTACATTCATCAATTTATTTTATCAATTTATAAAGTAAGAATTATATTATTTATTTTTTTTTATTTTTTTTTATAGAAAGACTTGTAAGCAAGATGAATTTTATTATTCACAGTACAGAAACAACTAATGGTGGTTAAGGAATTTCTTTGTATCAGTGATAAAGACTGATACCTTTTCAAGTATAGAAGCATTTATATCATCACTACATTGTGAACAACCATTGAGAAAGACATTTATATTATTATGCATATGATTATCATTCGGTAAAGAGTTCATCAGAACATGTCTTTGGTTATTAAAATTTTGACATTCAAAAAAGTAATGGTACGGGGTTTCTTGATCCTGTCTGCAATCACAAGTAGGTGATCCAGACAAGTGATCATTATAAAGGTGAAAGTTCAAATTACTGGCCTTATTTCGTAGTTGGCATAAAATAATATTAATTTTTCTGCATCCTGAATATTTAAATATGAGGGTTACATCATTATGGGGTTTGTTAAGGTTTTTTAGGTGTTTTTTAAACTGAGATAGGGATTGGGAGTTAGTAATAGCAGAGTCCAGCTGATTATATTTGTTGAGAGTGGCAGGAAAGTAACTGTTAAAATAATAATCTGTTCGACAGAGAGGCGGATTACAAATTCTATTTCCCCTTAACTCATATCTTGTACTTGTAATATCATTAATAAATGGATCTATAATATTTAATAAGTAAGAGTCATTATGCAGAATTCTATGCATAAAAAATATTTTTTGTTTATTTCTTCTTTCAGCTAATGTTTCCCATTCTAATTCTTCGTAAAGTTTCACATGAGATGTTCCTCGGCGTAATCCTGTAAGTATCCTGGCTGCATCTAATTGGACTGATTCGAGAAGTGTTTTTTCCTGTTCTGTACAATTGTCCCATACTACACTTGCATATTCTAAGATTGGCCTAATATAAGAGGTATACATTATAATAAGTGATTTTTTATCAACAGAATGTTTTAGACTTCTAAGAATGTTTATTCTTTTATATGCCTTATCATAGGTATGTTGTATGTGTTCAGCCCATTTACTATCTTCAGTGAAAGTAAGACCAAGATGAGTGTGAAATCTATTGTTAGTTAGTGGTTCATTCAAGAAAGAAATAGGTGGGTGATTTGGTTCTTTTTTCCTAGTAAAAATAACAGATTCAGTTTTTGCAGCATTAAATTTTAAGTCCCACTTTTTTGCCCATGTACTTATATTCTGAAGATCATTTGTTAGACTTTCTGCTGCTTGTATTGGATTATTATCAATAATTATGTATAAGGAAGTATCATCAGCAAATAATTTAATATTATTATTAACTTGGTCTGTTATATCATTAATGTACAGTAGGAATAAAAAA